GTTTCCTTGAATTTGTGAAAAGACCCCTGGTGGCATGTCTGGTGGGTTAAGTATGTGTGTCAGTGATGTGTGTAAGTTGACTGTGCAAACAATTTGGAATTTCCAACACATTAATATTTCTTATAAAAACAAGAAGGGATACAGTCAGTCTTTCCTCAACTCTTAGCCAAGAGAGAATGGCATGCATAGTACTGACATTAGCTCTCTGATTACAATGAAGAGCAAAACGTGCCACTCTGTTCTGGGCCAGCTACAGCTTAACTAGGTCCTTCTTTGCAGCACTTGACCATATAACTGGACAATAATCAAGATAAGATAAAACTAGAGCATTCAGGACTTGCTTTGTGGAGTGTGGTGTCAAAAAGCAGAGCATCTCATTAGCAAGGACAGACCTCTCCCCATCTCTACAACCATTGAATCTATATGTTCTGACCATGACAGTTTATAATCTAAGGTAACACCAAGTAATTTAGTCTCCTCAACTTGTTCAACAGCCACACCATTCATTACCATATTCAACTGAGGTCTAGAACTTAGGGAATGATTTTTACCAAACATGATGCTCTTAGTTTTAGAGATGTTCAAGACCATTTTATTACTGGTCACCCACTCCAAAACATACTGCAACTCTTTGCTAAGGGTTTCAGTGACTTCATTAACTGTGGTTGCTAATGCGTATAGGGCTGAATCATCGGCATGGACACACAGATTTTGTTAAATGCCAGTGGCAGGTCATTAGTAAAAATAGAAAAGAGTAGAGGGCCTAGAGAGCTGCCCTGCAGTACACCACACTTTACATGTTTGACATAAGAGAAGCTTCCATTAAATAAAACTCTATTAGTTCTATTAGATAGATACAATGCCTTGCAAAAGTATTCATCACCCTTGGCGTTTTTCCTATTTTGTTGCATTACAACCTATAATTTTAATTGATTTTTATTTGGATTTCATGTAATGGACATACACAAAATAGTCCAAATTGGTGAAGTGAAATAAAAAAATTACTAGTTTCAAAAAATTCTAAAAAATAAATTACCTTCAGAAGTCACATAATTAGTTAAATAAAGTCCACCTGTGTGCAATCTAAGTGTCACATGATCTGTCACATGATCTCAGTATATATACACCTGTTCTGAAAGGCCCCAGAGTCTGCAACACCACTAAGCAAGGGGCACCACCAAGGAGCTCTCCAAACAGGTCAGGGACAAAGTTGTGGAGAAGTACAGATCAGGGTTGGGTTATAAAAAAATATCTGAAACTTTGAACATCCCACGGAGCACCATTAAATTCATTATTAAAAAATTGAAAGAATATGGCACCACAACAAACCTGCCAAGAGAGGGCCGCCCACCAAAACTCACGGACCAGGCAAGGAGGGCATTAATCAGAAAGGCAACAATGAGACCAAAGATAACCCTGAAGGAGCTGCAAAGCTCCACAGCAGAGATTGGAGTATCTGTGTCACGATCGTCGACAGATGAAGCGGACCAAGGCGCAGCGTGATAAGCGTACATTCTATTTCGTACACAACACGAACAAAACAACAAACCAAACGATACGTGAAGTCCTAGGTTAATACAAAACAAACCTTACGGAACAAGATCCCACACCAAACTAGTGAAAACAGGCTACCTAAGTATGGTCCCCAATCAGAGACAACGAGCAACAGCTGCCTCTGATTGGGAACCACCCTAGCCAACATAGATCTACACGATCTAGAACGAAAACATAGAAAATGTAACAGAAACTCCACACCCTGGCTCAACATTTAAGAGTCCCCAGAGCCAGGGCGTGACAATCTGTCCATAGGACCACTTTAAGCCGTACATTCCACAGAGCTGGGCTTTACCCAAGAGTGGCCAGAAAAAAGCCATTGCTTAAAGAAAAAATAAGCAAACACGTTTTGTGGTCGCCAAAAAGCATGTGGGAGACTCCCCAAACATATGGAAGAAGGTACTCTGGTCAGATTAGACCAAAATTGAGCTTTTTGGCCATCAAGGAAAACGCTATGTCTGGCGCAAACCCAACACCTCTCATCACCCCGAGAACACCATCCCCACAGTGAAGCATGGTGGTGGCAGCATCATGCTGTGGGGATGTCTTTCATCGGCAGGGACTGGGAAACTGGTCAGAATTGAAGGAATGATGGATGGCGCTAAATACAGGGAAATTCTTGAGGGAAACCTGTTTCAGTCTTCCAGAGATTTGAGACTGGGATGGAGGTTCACCTTCCAGCAGGACAATGACCCTAAGCATACTGCTAAAGCAACACTCGAGTGGTTTGAGAGGAAACATTTAAATGTCTTGGAATGGCCTAGTCAAAGCCCAGACCTCAATCCAATTGAGAATCTGTGGTATGACTTAAAGATTGCTGTACACCAGCAGAACCCATCCAACTTGAAGGAGCTGTAGCAGTTTGTCTTGAAGAATGGGCAAAGATCCCAGTGGCTAGATGTGCCAAGCTTATAGAGACATACCCCAAGAGACTTGCAGCTGTAATTGCTGCAAAAGGTGGCTCAAAGTGGTAGGCATGTTGTGTAGATCAAATGATACAAATCCCCCCCAAATCTATTTTAATTTCAGGTTGTAAGGCAACAAAATAGGAAAAATGCCAAGGGGGGTGAATACTTTCGCAAGGCACTGTAGCTATGAATCCACTATATAGCAGAGATTGAATAGCCATAACAGATAAGTTGGTGTTATTATGATGTATTATTAGGTATTACCCCACTGTAGGAGCTAGGAACATAAGCATTTCACTACACCCGCGATAAAGTCAATACAGAACATTTCAAGAACTTTGAAAGTTTCTTCAACTGCAGTCGCAAAAACCATCAAGCGCTAAGATGAAACTGGTTCTCATGAGGCCCGCCACAGGAATGGAAGACCCAGAGTTACCTCTGCTGCAGAGGATAAGTTCATTAGAGTTACCAGACTCAGAAATTGCAGCAAAAAATAAATGCTTCACAGAGTTCAAGTCACAGACACATCTCAACATCAACTGTTCAGAGGGGACTGTGTGAATCAGGCCTTCATGGTCGAATTGCTGCAAAGAAACAACTACTAAAGGACACCAATAAGAAGAAGAGACCTGCTTGGGCCAAGAAACACGAGCAATGGACATTAGACCGGTGGAAATGTGTCCTTTGGTCTGGAGTTAAAATTTGAGATTTTTGGTTCCAACCGCTGTGTCTTTGTGAGACGCGGTGTGGGTGAATGGATGATCTCCGCATGTTTAGTTCTCCCCGTAAAGCATGGAGGAGGAGGTGTTATGGTGTGGGGGTGCTTTGCTGGTGACACTGTCTGTGATTTATTTAGAATTCAAGGCACACTTAACCAGCATGACTACCACAGCATTCTGCAGCGATACACCATCCCATCTGGTTTGGGCTTAGTGGGACTATCATTTGTTTTTCAACAGGACAATGACCCAACACACCTCCAGGCTGTGTAAGGGCTATTTTACCAAGAAGGAGAGTGATAGAGTGCTGCATCAGATGACCTGGCATCCACAAACCCCTGACCTCAACCCAATGAGTCGGACGGCAGAGTGAAGGAAAAGCAGCCATGAAGTGCTCAGCATATGTGGGAACTCCTTCAAGACTGTTGGAAAAGCATTCCAGGTGAAGCTGGTTCACAGAATGCCAAGAGTGTGCAAAGCTGTCATCAAGGCAAAGGGTGGCTATTTGAAGAATCTCAAATATAAAATATATTTTGATTTGTTTAACACTTTTTTGGTTACTACATGATTCCATATGTGTTGTTTCATAGTTTTGATGTCTTCACTATTATTCTACAATGTAGAAAATAGTAAAAAATAAAGAAAAACCCTTGAATGAGTAGGTGTGTCCAAACTTTTGACTGGTACTTTATTATATAAGTCAATAAAAATAAAAAATATATTCTGGTGATCCTAGATTTTATGTTGTGCTCCTAACTTTTTTAAATTGGGAGCACCAGTGCTACCAATGAAAAATATGAATTTAGAGCAGTGTGTGTGTGTGTGTGTGTGTGTGTGTGTGTGTGTGTGTGTGTGTGTGTTTGAAGAGCAAGATAAGAAGGAAAGGGCAAAAACATGGAATTAGAAGAGCTACAGTGCGCCATGGTATCTCAATGGACACAACAACATGCACTTACTTCACAGGCACTGAACGAGCCTGAGTCTGCATGCAGAGTGTTGATGTCACTAGTTGCTGGGCTTCTTTTCAATGGAATTAAATAGATCAGTCACTGTCCACCGACCACCACAAGCTGTGACAACTCACATGCCCTTTATTTGATTAAAATAGTTAAATAGGAACAATTGTTCAAGTGGGGTAGGCTCATAGATTGTATACTGAACAGAAATATAAACTCAACAATTTCAACGATTTTACTGAGTTACAGTTCATATAACATATTTACATGTTGTGTTAACCTTTTTGTTCAGTATATATACACTGTATGTATAGGATACACTGTACATATTATTATATGGGTGAAATTTGTTTATCTTTTTAAACATTGCCTGGATGTGCATGTAAAAAGAGAACGACAATGTTAGCTATTTAAAATAATTTCAAATGTAGGTTACAACTTTCAATACACATTGTCTGAATGGAGTTGAAGTGAGTTAAATCAATTATCTCTTAATCTAATCCAAGTGTTGTCAACTACTTAAATTGCTGTATGGCTCTTTACTGTTGGATTCCCAACTGGGCACAGACGTCAATTAAACATCTATTCCACGTTGGTTCATTGAAATGACGTGGGAACAACGTTGATTCAACCAGTGTGTGCCGAGTGGGTCAAGTCTGTTTTGTTTACTTCGATCTGCTCTGCACGTGGGTAGGGAGGGAGTGCTGGCGGATTAGCGCGCTCTGATCATCACATTCTACGTTCTACCGTAACAACAGTGAAGGAAGAAAGGCAGTTTAGAATACAGTTTTCTCCTCATTGTTCGTGTTTGTCAGTGTCAGAATCTCTCTCTCTGAATTTAAATCATCCTTCGGCCACTAACCATGTCACTGTCAGGTTCGCAGACTCCAGATGACAGCTTGTACGGTAAGTGTTTGGGGGACTGAGCTGGCGGGAGCGGTTACTTTGCGTCAATGTATAAAACATTATTTATTGTTATTGGGTCAATGCAAAGTCTGGTCAATGATCATTGATTTGTGTTTTACTATCAAATGTTTATAAAATCCTTGTAACTTCCCTATGATTAAGCTTTCTCTGTGTTTACCATATGTATAAACTATGTTCAAGTGTTTTTCTAGTTTACATTTTTTATAAATAATTCCAAGAGGGGTCCATCAGGAAAAGAACACTATTGATGTATAAATTATTATGTTCATCCTTAGGCCTATAATGCTTATGTGTTAGTAACAATCAATTAATGATGCATGAACAGTGACCTCTTTCATTAGAAGAAGGTTGTTTACTACATTTTACTTAATTCATACACAACATTTATATAATCATTATCCATGACAGAATGCATGGATAATGTGGACTTAAGATGTGAGAAAAAGGGCGGGTTAGGGGAGAAATGTTAGCACACCAGTTTGGAGTGACATGTCATTGTGTAAACGGATTTCATGACTCACCTTTTTCTATCTCCCTAAACCAATTAAACCCAGGAGATTTCCCTGAGGCTTATAGCTCACTGTACAGTTTGCTTATAGCCTCTACAGTACATGGGAGATGTTGTCCAGCTGTCAATGTATACACAACTCATACACAGATGGGAATAATACATGGGACATGGTTAAACCGTAAACAGATTTAGAAAGCCATAATATCTAGGACATATACACAAAGCTTTGGAACGAGCACAACAACACATTTGTGCTTTGTTTTTCAAGAACTAGGCCTATATTAACACACATTACATAAACCTGATTGGCACTACTTCTATGGATGGATACTAGATTATTGACAGGCATTGGGTATTGCTGCAGTGCAACCTGGACAAGGCCACAGAAAGAGAAAGAGAGAGAGAGAAACAGCAGGCTGGCAGCCAGTGATTATGTCATAACTCTCTCTCTCTCTGGGAGGAAAACTAGGGCAACGGCACAGCTTCCCCTCTGCGCTCTCTTCTCCACCCCACTCTCCTCTATTCATATGCCCTCTCCACTGTTGCTGTTTACATGATCTCTCACTTCCGTAAGTAAATTTATAAAAGGGGAAGAGACAAACAGAGAGGATGAGTGTTGATGATGTTTGCATGCATGCGTTCCAGAGAGACAGAGAATGAGATAGGAGAGAGGAGAGGAAAGGAACTGCCCAGTGACGCGAGCCTACCAGACGACCTAAATGCACTGAACAAAAATATAAACGCAACAAGTGTTGGTCTCATGTTTCATGAGCTGAAATAAAATATCTCAGAAATGTTCCAACTGAGATTTATTCCTGATTATTATTTGACCATGCTTGTCACTTATGAACATTTTTGAACATCTTGGCATGGTTCTGTTATAATCTCCACCCGGCACAGCCAGTAGAGGACTGGCCACCCCTCATAGCCTGGTTCCTCTCTAGGTTTCTTCCTAGGTTTTCGCCTTTCTAGGGAGTTTTTCCTAGCCACCGTGCTTCTACACCTGCATTACTAGCTGTTTGGGGTTTTAGGCTGGGTTTCTGTACAGCACTTCGAGATATTAGCTGATGTAAGAAGGGCTATATAAAATAAAATTGATTGATTGATTGATTGATAATCTCATACAGAAATAAGATCTTATGTAAGCAGGCACTCTGTCAGGGCATTCTGTCAGTGGTTGGCTCTGTTTGTTTGTGTTGGTGTGTGTTGTGTTCGTCCGTGTGCATGTGTAGCATGTGCTTAGCATGGAACACTCAAACGATGCAATGGACTAGTTTCAGAGGGAGCAGTGATGAGATTTTCATGTAAAACACCAGAATCCAGTCGGTTTAAAGATAAGTGCTAAATGCATTTTAAGGAATATAGTTCCTTAAAATATATACAATTCATAATGTGATTCACACAATAAACAATGTTCACAATGTTCACAATAGGCCTAATTAAATGTCCATACGTCGGGTAAATAGTATATGGGTATTTCAATACCTCTGGAAAATAGTCTATGGGTATTTCAATACCTCGGGTAAATAGTCTATTGGTATTTCAATACCTCGGGTGCACCCTTCTAATATCAATAATCACTGGTATATCACCAGATCAATTCAATATAGAACTTCGCTAGCACAGACTATGTTCCGGGATTCATCCAATAACATTGAGGAGTTTACCACATCAGTCACCGGCTTCTTTAATTAGGGCATCGACGAGGTCATCCCCACAGTGACCATACATACATATCCCAACCAGAAGCCATGGATTACAGGAAACATCCGCACTGAGCTAAAGGCTAGAGCTGCCACTTTCAAGGAGCGGGACACTAATCCGGACTCTAAAAGAAATCCCGCTACGACCTCCGACGAGCCATCAAACTTGCAAACGTCAATGTAGGACTAAGATCGAAACCTACTACGCCAGCTCTGACGCTTGTCGGATGTGGCAGGGCTTGCAAACTATCTCGGATTACAAAGGGAAACCCAGTCGCGAACTGCCCAGTGACGCGAGCCTACCAGACGACCTAAATGCACTGAACAAAAATATAAACGCAACAAGTGTTGGTCTCATGTTTCATGAGCTGAAATAAAATATCTCAGAAATGTTCCATATGCACATAAAGCTTATTTCTCTCAAATGTTGTGCACACATTTGTTCACATCCATGTTAGTGAGCATTTCTCCTTTGCCAAGATGATCCATCCACCTGACAGGTGTGGCATATCAAGAAGCTGATTAAACAGCATGATCATTACACAGGTGCACCTTGTGCTGGGGACAATAAAACACCACTCTAAAATGTGCAGTTTTGTCACAACACAATGCCACAGATGTCTCAAGTTTTGAGGGAGCGTGCAATTGGCATGCTGACAGCAGGAATGTCCACCACAGCTGTTGTCAGAGAATTAAATGTTTATTTCTCCAATGTTGTTTTAGAGAATTTGGCAGTACGTCCAACCGGCCTCACAACCGCAGACCACGTGTAACCACGCCAGCCCAGGACCTCCACATCCGGCTTCTTTACCAGCGGGATCGTCTGAGACCAGCCACCCGGACAGCTGATGAAACTGTGGTTTTGCACAACTGAAGAATTTCTGCACAAACTGTCAGAAACCATCTCAGGGAAGCTCATCTGCGGGCTCGTCGTCCTCACCAGGGCCTTGAAAAAGTTCCCTTAGTAATTAGCATAGGTAGCGCAAGTTACATAGACTAACATGGTAAAAAGTTAGCATTAGCCCGGTAACGCGGTGCAAAGACAGTAGCTTCATGAAAAATTAAACATACTAATTTAATGGTCCACAAACTCATGCAACCAGTCTCAGGACGAGCCCCAACTGAACTGTAGTATAGATCCATTACACTTTGTGATACAAAATGGGAAAGGGAAACCGGGATTGTTTTATTTTTTATTTATTAATATATACAGTAGTATATATACAGTAATATATATATATATACATATATATATATGTATATATTTATTTATTATTTTTATTATTATTACCCTACCAACTAACCCTATACTAATTAAAACCCATCACATTATTCCACTACTTTAACCCTATCTGATCCTACCCCAGGCCAATGGCCTGAGAGGACTGGACACTACCACTCAACACACGCTGTAACTCTTCTGAAGTCAAATCTCGTACCCCCAAGTACTTCTCTGCAGCGGCCACCACAACATCTATTTTGTGTGATTTACGTTCCATTTCTGCGGTACAGTTGATAACCATTGCTATGAACGCTAAGAAGCCAACCTTACTGAAGCAAACAGTACCAGTCAAGAGTTTGGACACACCTACTCATTCAAGGGTTTTTCTTTATTTGTACTATTTTTACATTATAGAATAATAGTGAAGATATCAAAACTATGAAATAACACATATGGAATCATGTAGTAACCAAAAAAGTGTTAAACAAATCAAAATATATTTTATATTTGAGATACTTCAAATAGCCACCCTTGATGACAGCTTTGCACACTCTTGGCATTCTCTCAGTCAGCTTCACCTGGAATGCTTTTCCAACAGTCTTGAAGGAGTTCCCACATATGCTGAGCATTTGTTGGCTGCTTTTCCTTCACTTTGCTGTCTGACTCATCCCAAACCATCTCAATTGGGTTGAGGTCAGGGGATTGTGGAGGCCAGGTCATCTGAGGCAGCACTCCATCACTCTCCTTCTTGGTAAAATAGCCCTTACACAGCCTGGAGGTGTGTTGGGTCATTGTCCAGTTGAAAAACAAATGATAGTCCCACTAAGCTCAAACCAGAATGGATGACGTATCACTGCAGAATGCTGTGATAGCCATGCTGGTTAAGTGTGCCTTGAATTCTAAATAATTCACAGACAGTGTCACCAGCAAAGCACCCCCACACCATAACACCTCCTCCTCCATGCTTTACGGTGGGAACTACACATGCTGAGATCATCCGTTCACCCACACCGCGTCTCACAAAGACACAGCGGTTTGAACCAAAAATCTCAAATTTGGACTCCAGACCAAATGACACATTTTGACTGGTCTAATGTCCATTGCTCGTGTTTCTTGGCTCAAGCAGGTCTCTTCTTCTTATTGGTGTCCTTTAGTAGTGGTTTCTTTGCAGCAATTCGACCATGAAGGCCTGATTCACACAGTCCCCTCTGAACAGTTGATGTTGAGATGTGTCTGTGACTTGAACTGAACTCTGTGAAGCATTTATTTGGGCTGCAATTTCTGAGGCTGGTAACTCTAATGAACTTATCCACTGCAGCAGAGGTAACTCTGGGTCTTCCATTCCTGTGGCGGTCCTCATGAGAGCCAGTTTCATCATAGCGCTTGATGGTTTTTGCGACTGCACTTGAAGAAACTTTAAAAGTTCTTGAAATGTTCCGTATTGACTGACCTTCATGTCTTAAAGTAATGATGGACTGTCGTTTCTCTTTGCATATTTGAGCTGATCTTGCCATAATATGGACTTGGTATTTTACCAAATAGGGTATCCATGATTAGCTGTTCAGGAGTCTTATGGCTTGGGGGTAGAAGCTGTTGAGAAGTCTTTTGGATCTAGACTTGGCAGTCCGGTACCGCTTGCCGTGCGGTCGCAGAGAGAACAGTCTATAACTAGAGTGGGTGGAGTCTTTGACAATTTTGTGGGCCTTCCTCTGACACCGCCTGGTATAGAGGTCCTGGATGGCAGGAAGCTTGGCCCCAGTGATGTACTGGGCTGTACGCTCTACCCTCTGTAGTGCCTTGCGGTTGGAGGCCGAGCAGTTGCCATACCAGGCGGTGATGCAACCAGTCAGGATGCTCTCGATGGTGCAGCTGTAGAACTTTTTGAGGATCTGAGGACCCATGCCAAATCTTTTCAGTCTCCTGAGGGGGAATAGGCTTTGTCGTGCCCTCTTCACGACTGTCTTGGTGTGTTTGGACCATGATAGTTCATTGGTGATGTGGACACCAAGGAACTTGAAGCTCTCAACCTGTTCCACTACAGCCCCGTCGATGAGAATGGGGGCGTGCTCAGTCTCTTTTCTTTTTCCTGTAGTCCACAATCATCTCCTTTGTCTTGGTCACGTTGAGGGAGAGGTTGTTATCCTGGCACCACACGGCCAGGTCTCTGACCTCCTCCCTATAGGCTGTCTCATCATTGTCGGTGATCAGGCCTACCACTGTTGTGTCGTCGGCAAACTTAATGATGGTGTTGGAGTCGTGCCTGGCCATGCAGTCATGGGTGAACAGGGAGTACAGGAGGGGACTGAGCACGCACCCCTGAGGGGCCCCCGTGTTGAGGATCAGCGTGGCAGATGTGTTGTTACCTACCCTTACCACCTGGGGGCGGCCCGTCAGGAAGTCCAGGATCCAGTTGCAGAGGGAGGTGTTTAGTCCCAGGATCCTTAGCTTAGTGATGAGCTTTGAGGGCACTATGGTGTTGAACGCTGAGCTGTAGTCAATGAATAGCATTCTCATGAAGCTGGTTGAGAGAATGCCAAGGGTGTGCAAAGCTGTCATCAAGGCAAAGGGTGGCTATTTGAAGAATCTCAAACATAGAATATATTTTGATTTGTTTAAAACTTTTTTGGTTACCACATGATTCCATATGTATTATTTAATAGTATTGATGTCTCCCCTTGTCACGGATTCAGCCGAGGCTGCTCCTCCTCCTTGCTCGGGCAGGCTTTGGCGTTCGTCGTCCCCGGAGTACTAGCTGCTGCCGATCTATGTTTCGGTGTTTGTCTTGTTTGGTCTTTATTGTTTACACCTGTTTCCCATTATGTTTTATTGTGTTCCCTTTATAACCCTCTGTTTCTCATTGTGTATTGTGCGTAATTGTTTTGGTCTTTTCGGCAGTTGCCCATGTGTGCGGGTTGTATCGTTCCTCTCTGTATGAGGTTGCCTTTGTACTTTGGATTTGCACTGTATCCAGTAAAGTATCTGCCAGTAGCTCGGTGTCCTGCGCTTGACTTCGCCTACTGCATACACGTCGCTTTGACACCCCTATTATTCTACAATGTAAAACAATACAAATAAAATGAATGAGTAGGTGTGTCCAGACTTTTGACTGGTAGTGTATATCACTCATTGGTCTATCCCTCTGTGCTGGCACAGATCTACTATTCACAGGGATCCTCTCAGAATCCCTCACCCTTGACCCATCCTCCTCTACTTTCTTCACTGCCTCAGCAAACGACACCTTCTGCACTACTCCTCAACCTGCCTCTCTCGCACCGTACACTTCCGATCCCCTGCAACATGTGTACCCCTACAGTTGACACACACACAACTTTATCCACCAAAACTACACAATCCTCTATCCCATGCCCTCCTGCACACTTCCCACATCTTGGAATCTCCCTCCTACACACTGCTGTGACATGACCATAAACGTTGCACCTGAAACAGCGCAGTGTATTCGCCAAAAACACTCTAACAGGATAATTGATATATCCTAACATGACCTTGTCGGGTAAAGACTCTGATAAAAACTCAAAAGGACTGACAGTGACTCCTCTGTTTCACCATGCTCACCACCGGGTCTGCGTCGCACCAAACGGCAGGCGTCACAAACACCAGGAATCTTCAACTTCAATTGCTCCACTTCCACACTTAATGCTACCCCAGAAATCACTCCTTTCAATAGTGCCCTGTTCCTAAGAGCAAAGCAAAAAACAGATCTTGACCCAAGTTGCGTCGCACGGAGCGCCTGCTCCCCCTGATCTGAAGAAACACAAACAAACATCACAAGACCCCTTCGAGTTGCCTTCACCGACTCAACAGCACCCACCATCTTTTCCATCCAACCTGGTTCCACCCTCCTCAAAAATCTAATTCCCACTGGACCAAACATATCTTTATCATCCATCAATGCAAGGCTTGGGCTCCGAGCTCCTCACAATAGCTTCTACCCCTTCCATTTCACCTCCAGAACTCGAACTAGCTTCCGGCTCACCCTGTTTGAACCAGACACCAATCTTCCTCGACATACCCTCTCCCTTGTTATTGCTAGCGTCAACAGATTCAAACCCATCCTCTGCCTCCCTCAGTATTTTCAACCTCTCTCTTTCCCTCCAATCCTCCTCCCATAACCAATTACCCGACTCCTTCTGAAAATATTAAACTTTTCCAAGCTGAAATCTCCTTCTAGCCTCCTAGAGACATGCTTAAGCCCTGTACTCCCTCCACTTCAAACACAAATATCTAAGTTTCACTCGTTATTTATTTTAATTAAGATTTTTTTACAATCAAGAAGAGCAGAAAGTCTGTCTAAAATTGCGCATCCTCTGCAGGGCTTGCTCGAGATTGAAGATGATTGAGCTGTCAATCAAAGGCACTTCTGATTGGTTAGGTCGTTTCACTCATAACTATAAAGATATTTAAAGGGATACTTCGCTTAGCATCTGACCGCAAGGTGGTGTCAGAGGAAGGCCCTAAAAATTGTGAAAGACTCCAGCCACCGAAGTCATAGACTGTTCTCTCTTCTACCGCATGGCAAGCGGTACTGATGCAACAAGTCTAGAACCAACAGCACCCTGAAGAGCTTCTACCCCCAAGCCATAAGACTGCTAAATAGTTAGTTAAATCATTAACCAATAGCTACCCAGAATATCTGCATTGACCCTTTTTGCACTAACTCTTTTGACTGATCACATACTATTTTTCTATTATTTCTCTTTTTCTCTCTCTGCATTGTTGGGAAGTCAGTAAGCATTTCACTGTTGTTTATGAAGCATGTGACAAATAAAAATGGATTTGATTTGAATTGCTGGAAGTCTCCAGGAACAACTAGCCAGCTCCTCTCAAAAGCAGGGAAATATACCTTCTAACTACTCAAAAGCTGGGTGGTTGGTCATTTATAGTCTTACTACATAGTAATCGATATTTGATAAATTCTTAAATTTGACTGATAATCGGAAGAAACAGATTCTATTTACTTCCTCATATTCTGTCCCGTTGTTGAATAGAGATGTATAAATATCACAACATTGTATCTGTCCCATCATTGCGTATTTGAGCGCACGGGCAGCGCCATTGAGACAGATACACCGCTTTACTGGTGTAAGCCACCTGGCAGGGATTGTAAAAGAGGTACATGACAGCTATTTATATTTATTATGTGTGAATTGTTTCGTAATGTTGTCTAGTTATTATTACTGCACTGTTGGAGCTAGAAACACAAGCATTTAGCTAGGTATTACTACACTGTTGGAGCTAGAAACACAAGCATTTAGGTAGGTATTACTGGACTGTTGGAGCTAGACACACAAGCATTTCACTGCACCTACGATAACATCTGCAAATCTCTGTACGCTACCAATAAACTTAGATTTGAATTGATTTGACAAGACCATAACTCGCTTCAACTTTTTTTTTTACCATGTATGATGAACTTAAATGTTGTATAGATCTTTTCCCCATAAAAGCACATGGATGTGTGTGAAACGGATCAGCAAAAACGTGGGATTTTGTCATACAGTTGAACTCTGAAGTTTACATACACCTTAGCCAAATACATTTAAACTCAGTTTTTCACAATTCCTGACATTTAATCCTAGTAAAAATTCCCTGTCTTAGGTCAGTTAGGATCACCACTTTATTTTAAGAATGTGAAATGTCAGAATAATAGTAGAGAGAATTATTTCTTTCAGCTTTTATTTCTTTCATCACATTCCCAGTGGGTCAGAAGTTTACATACACTCAATTAGTATTTGGTAGCATTGCCTTTAAATTGTTTAACTTGGGTCAAACATTTTGGGTAGCCTTCCACAAGCTTCCCACAATAAGTTGGGTGAATTTTGGCCCATTCCTCCTGACAGAGCTGGTGTAACTGAGTCAGGTTTGTAGGCCTCCTTGCTCGCACACGCTTTTTCAGTTCTGCCCACAAATGTTCTATAGGATTGAGGTCAGGGCTTTGTGATGGTCACTTCAATACCTTGACCTTGTTGTCCTTAAGGCATTTTGCCACAACTTTGGAAGCATGCTTGGGGTCATTGTCCATTTGGAAGACCCATTTGAGACCAAGCTTTAACTTCCTGACTGATGTCTTGAGATGTTGCTTCAATAAGCATGATGCTGCCACCCCCATGCTTCACGGTTGGGATGGTGTTCTTCGGCCAAACAGTTCTATTTTTGTTTCATCAGACCAGAGAACATTTCTCAAAAAAGTACGATCTTTGTCCCCATGTGCAGTTGCAAACCGTAGTCTGGCTTTTTAATGGCGGTTTTGGAGCAGTGGCTTCTTCCTTGCTGAGCGGCCTTTCAGGTTATGTCGATATAGGACTCTTTTTACTGTGGATATAGATACTTTTGTACCTGTTTCCTCCAGCATCTTCACAAGGTCCTTTGCTGTTGTTCTGGGATTGATTTGCACTTTTCGCACCAAAGTTCATTAATCTCTAGGAGACAGAACGTGTCTCCTTCCTGAGCGGTATGACGGCTGCGTGGTCCCATGGTGTTTATACTTGCGTACTATTGTTTGTACAGATGAACATGGTACCTTCAGGCATTTGGAAATTGCTCCCAAGTATGAACCAGACTTGTGGAGGTCTACAATTTTTTTTCTGAGGTCTTGGCTGATTTATTTTTATTTTCCCATGATGTCAAGCAAAGAGGCACTGAGTTTGAGGGTAGGCCTTGAAATACATCCACAGGTACACCTCCAATTCACTCAAATTATGTAAATTAGCCTACCAGAAGCTTCTAAAGCCATGACATCATTTCTGGAATTTTCCAAGCTGTTTAAAGGCACAGTCAACTTAGTGTATGTAAACTTCTGACCCACTGGAATTGTGATACTGTGAATTATAAGTGAAATAATCTGTCTGTAAACAATTGTTGGAAATATTACTTGTGTCATGCACAAGGTAGATGTCCTAACCGACTTGCCAAAACTATAGTTTGTTAACAAGACATTTGTGGAGTGGTTGGAAAACAAGTTTTAATGACTCCAACCTATGTGTATGTAAACTTCCGACTTCAACTGTATATGCGAAAACGTGCCTCTTGAACTTTGTCTAACGTTAGTAGTTAGTGGCCTAGTCAAGGATGCATCATGTAATATTGGCACACTACAATTGTGGAACAAAATTAAACCTTGAATTTCGAGGTTTAAAATATCCCTCTGGTGGCCAAGTTGACCTATTTTAAGAAATGCCATTGGTTGATGGATACGGAATTTGTTACAGGAAATAATCGCTGACTGCTGGTCAGGATAGCAAGAGGCTAAATGTGCCAGGTTATCTAATAGGAAGAGCTAACATGTAGTGTTGTTTCACATGCAACTACGTCAACAATTTTAATTGGCAGATGCCAAGTATGGATCCGAGGGGTATACTACAAAGCAGGATCGATGAATTAGCCAGCTAACTTTGACAAACAACCAATAGCTGTTGATTTTCTAGTTCATTAAGAAAGCTAAACTTAATTAAAACCGGGTGGTTTGAGCTCTGAATGGTGATTGGCTGAAAGCTGTGGTATACCATGGGTATGACCAAAAATTAATTATATTGGTAACCAGTTTATAATAGCAATAATGCACCTCGGGGGTTTGTGGTATAGGGCCAATATACCATGGCTAACGACTGTATCCAGGCATAAGAACAGCCCTTAGCCGTGGTATTTTGGCCATCCACCACACCCCCTCGTGCCTTATTGCTTAATTTCAAGGTTATTTTGTGTATAACCTTCTGCATTACGTGTCTTAACCTTAAGACAGCCGTCTACTGTAATGATAAAGCAACAACAGACAACTAAACAATCTGTTTAGATCAAATAAAATAAAATGTTATTGGTCGCGTACACATATGTTGCAGCTGTTATCACAGGTGCAGCGAAATGCTTATGTTTCTAGCTCCAACAGTACACTATACCTAACAATACAAAACAATACACACAAATCCCAAAAATGTAAATAAAGAAATGAAGAAATATCATATATATAATGGTGTGTATAGGCAGTATGGACAGTATATGAATAGGTAAGGTGTGTACAGCATTAGTTATATAGGATGAGCCTTGACTAGAATACAGTATATACATATGATGTGGGTAAAACAGTATGTAAACATTATTAAAGTGACCAGTGTTCAATGACTATGTACATAGGGCAGCAGTCACTAAGGTGCACCTTAGAGTTCTGGGTGGTAGCCGGCTAGTAACAGTGACTAAGTTCAGGGCAGGGTACCAGGTGGTAGCTGGCTAGTAACAGTGACTAAGGTCAGGGTACTGGGCGCAGGCTGGCTAGTGGTGACTATTTAACAGTCTGATGGCCTGGAGATAGAAGCTGTTCTTCAGTCTCTCGGTCCCAGCTTTGATGCACCTGTACTGTCTCCGTCTTCTAGATGGTAGCGAGGTGAACAGGGCATGGCTCAGGTGGCTGAGGTCCTTGAGGATCTTCTGGGCCTTCCTGTGACACAGCGTGCTGTAGATGTCCTGGAGGGCAGGCAGATAGACTTATCTGTCTATTTTTAGTGTGCTCATGCTGTGTCCCTCACCTGCATGGCTGCTGGCTGATAGACAGTGTTGCCAAACCCTCCTGGTTTAGCCTACAGTCTTCCAGAATTGGGCTTTAGTAAAGTTATTCCGGGAGATTGAATACGATTTAATAAGATTAACTGAAATGTAAACTATGGAATGTTCCAGAATTACCTCAGCTCTCAGTTGGCAACATTGCTGACAGGTTGCATGTCTCTGTCTCTGTCTCTCTCTCTCAAACACACACACACACAAAAACACACACAAACACACACAAACACACACACACACACACACACACACATAGGCTCGTGGGTGGAGCTGGAGGAGCTGCTTTCAGCAGTGAGCAGCAGGGAGAGTCTGACAGGACAAGAACAGGACACAGCCTCCTGGGCCCTGCAGGGGGAGCTACAGAGGATCCTGCTAGAGGCACAGCTCGAGAGTAAAGACAGGTTAGTAGCTGAGAGGAGTTATAACAGGTTAGTAGCCTTCCCACAAACATAAATAAGACACGCTTTATGCCTCTCTTTCTTTCTCTGTCTCCCTCTTTTTCTCTCCCACTCTGTGTGTGTGTGTGTGTGTGTGTGTGTGTGTGTGTGTTTACGTTGTTACTGAGAAGTCCTGTTGACTTGCTCTCTGTGTTCAGTCCTCCACATGTGGTGACTCCTCCACAGACCGTTGCTTCCCCTCCCCACAGTGAAGGCAGCAGCAGTACAGACTGTGTTACCATACAGGTACGAAACAAACACACAAAACACTCACATAACATATTTTACTGTAGCAGTAGCAATCCTCTGCTACTAGATAGCTTTAACACCACACAAGTCTGTGTTTTCATGATGGCAACTGTACTTGTTAATTGACATTTAACTTTCCCTCTCTTCTCCCGTCTCAGTCCGAAGAAGAAGGGGAGAGGGGGCTGAGTTCTGAGTGGGTATGGGACTGGTCCAGTCGGCCCGAGAACCTTCCACCAAAGTAAGAACCTACGCATATAATTGGAATGGCTCCGAATTGATTTTCATTGTAATTCATTCTAATTCCGTTGACCTCCATTGACCAGTTGCACTGTAAACAAATTAACTTACACACACACACACACACACACACACAGTACTTGTGTCACGATCGTCTAACAGAGATGAGGACCAAGGCGCAGCGTTGCAGGCAAACATACTCTTTATTAGAGACACGATCAAAAACAACAAAACGATAACGTGACAGTTCACGGTCTAACACAACAGACTAGAAACAAGATCCCACAAACTCTGTGGGGAAACAGGCTGCTAAAGTATGGTTCTCAATCAGAGACAACAAGCAACAGCTGAATCACGTTGCCTCTGATTGAGAACCACACTGGCCAACATAGAACAACAATACTAGAATGTGAAACCTAGAACAAAACACATAGACTTTACACACCCTGGCTCAACATATTAGAGTCCCCAGAGCCAGGGCGTGACAGTCCCCCCCCCTAAAGGCGCGGACTCCGACCACGCCCACCAAATACCACAGGGGAGGGACCGGGTGGGCACTCCGCTTAGGCGGCGGATCCGGCTCCGGGCCTGATCCCCGCTCCCTCTCCAACCCAACAAAGTACCCCTGGTCCGGTCTGGCCCCGCTGGCCCGGAGCTGGACTGCACACTGGTGGAGCGGATTGCTCTAGCTCCGGCGTGAAGCATCTGACCGGTGCCGGACCAGCCACCGGTGGAACAGGCACGGGCCGTGCCGGACTGACGATGCACACCACTGGCTTGGTGTGGGGAGCAGGAGCGGGCCGAGCCGGGCTGACGAAACGCACCACTGACTTGGTGCGGGGAGCAGGAGCGGGCCGGACCGGGCTGACGAAGCGCACCACTGACTTGGTGCGGGGAGCAGGAACGGGCCGAGCCGGGCTGACGAAGCGCACCACTGACTTGGTGCGGGGAGCAGGAACGGGCCGAGCCGGGCTGACGAAGCGCACCACTGACTTGGTGCGGGGAGCAGGAACGGGCCGAGCTGGGCTGACGAAACGCACCACTGACTTGGTGCGGGGAGCAGGAATGGGCCGGACTGGGCTGGCGACGCGCACCACAGGCTTGGTGCGAGTGGCAGGAACAGGCCGGACCATACTGGGAACACACACCACTGGCCCTACGTGGGGATCAGGAACAGGCCGGACCGGACTGGCAACACACCCCAGTACCTCTCGCCGTGCCTCTACACCTTCCATCCCCTCTTCGACCAGTGGCCCCCGTAACCTGGCGGCCTCCTCTGCCAACCCGCTGGGCCGCTCTATCGTGGCCTCCTGCTGCCCCGACGTCGTGAGCCCCCCCCTAAAAATTTTCTGGGAGTCTCTCTTCCCCGTGGGCCAGGCCTCTATAGTTCTCGCCCAACTCTCGCTCTTCTGCTTCCAATTCCCGCCATTCAGCTCCTCATTCGGCTTGACCCAGTCGAAGCTCTTCCTCCACTGTTCCCAAGTCCACCCTCTCTGCTCCTCACTAGGCTGCTTGGTCCAGTTCTGGTGGGATCTTCTGTCATGATCGTCTAACAGAGATGAGGACCAAGGCGCAGCGTTGCAGGCAAACATACTCTTTATTAGAGACACGATCAAAAACAACAAAACGATAACGTGACAGTTCACGGTCTAACACAACAGACTAGAAACAAGATCCCACAAACTCTGTGGGGAAATAGGCTGCTAAAGTATGGTTCTCAATCAGAGACAACAAGCAACAGCTGAATCACGTTGCCTCTGATTGAGAACCACACTGGCCAACATAGAACAACAATACTAGAATGTGAAACCTAGAACAAAACACATAGACTTTACACACCCTGGCTCAACATATTAGAGTCCCCAGAGCCAGTGCGTGACAACTTGGCTGCTTCGAACAAGCATTGACTCGTGAGGGGCCTGTGGATGTGCTAGAGGGAATGTAGTCATTATTTTGATACATAATGAATAAAAACGTGTACAGTAGCATTGAAACATGACAGAAAATATATCTCCATTACGCGTGAACATGACATATGATAGTCTTCTACAGTCATGAAGGTATGTTTCTCCTCATGGTATGAGACCAGGGACGCAAGATCAGGGACATGTCCCCCCCACATTCTGAAACTGCATCTTTGTACCCCCCAGTTTTATCATCCGAATGTGATACAAATGAGCCAACGATGTGCTTTAGGACCATGCGGACACCTCTGAGCGGTTGGGTAGGCTGTTTGGAGTGTTTATCCGACTGGATAAAACATTTAAATAATCATAATCATAATTATGTTCCCCCCAATTCTAAAACCAAAGTTGCAGCCCTGTATGAGACTACTGAATTTCCTCCAGAGAAATCTCCTTTTATCTTGAGTAACAAAACAAGACAAAACATGTTTCAGTAATGTATTCCCCCTCTCTCCTTCTCTTCCTCCTTTCTCCCCCCCCCCCCCCCCCAGGGAGTTTGTGTTCCAGCACCCGAAGCAGCAGTCGGGCTCCCTGAGCGTAAGGAAGAGTGAGGTGATGAAGAGAGGCCTGTTTTCCTCCGACGTCCTCATGATCCTCATCCCCTCACTGCTGGTCTCACATCTTCTCACACTGGGAGTGGGGTAAGACACACACACACAGTGGAATACATATACACGCACGCACAAATATAACAGACAAGTACAGGCCATATTAGCTACCAACAGAGATAATGAGATACAGTTTGTCTTAGTAATGGTAATGAAGTAGCCTACTATTTGGCCACCAGCACCTGATCGTTTCCTAATGGCAGCAATTTATTTTTATACAACAACCAGGTAAATGTGCATAAAGATTCAAGTTATAAGTAATGTGTTATTTTTATCCTTCAATATTAGCAGTATATTTCTCTCTCCCTTTCTCAGGATCTACATAGGGAAGCGATTGGCTGCCTCTACAACTAGCACTCTGTGACATGTGCTTCAGGGCAGCGCTCCCATTCGTTGACGGCAGGCCAATAGGATGGCAGCCCTCGCCACAGCACACCTGTTGCACCCCTCTCTCCCTGTCATGGGGCAACTTAGGACCCAGCCTTTCTTTACCACTGTCTCTCTGTATGTCTCTCTGTCTGTCTCTCTATGTCTGTCTGTCTGTCTGTCTCTCTATGTCTGTCTGTCTGTCCACCACCCACCAGCACTTTGTGTGTCTGTCCATCAGTCAGTCAGTCACTCAGCATCTCTGAATCTGTGATTGTCCTAGGGCCAGAGTGTGTGTCTGTATGTGCATGTGTGCGTGTGCGTGTGTGTGTGTGTGTTTGTTTGTGTGTGTGTGTGTGCGTGCGTGTGTCAGGGCTGGAGAGAGACTGCTGTACAGACATTGTGTCAATAACTCAGACTGAGATCACTATTACTCTCCCAGCAGAGTAACACTAATCTCAGTTACAGTGGCTTGCGAAAGTATTCACCCTCCTTGGCATTTTTCCTATTTTGTTGCCTTACAACCTGCAATTAAAATTGATTTTGGGGGGGGGGGTTGTATCATTTGATTTACACAACATGCCTACCACTTTGAAGATGCAAAATATTTTTTCTTGTGAAACAAACAAGAAATAAGAAAAATTATAATAATACTTGAGCATGCATAACTATTCACCCCCCCCCCCCCCCCCCCCCCCCCCCCCAAAGTCAATACTTTGTAGAGCCACCTTTTGCAGCAATTACAGCTGCAAGTCTCTTGGGGTTTGTCTCTATAAGCTTGGCACATCTAGCCACTGGGATCTTTGCCCATTCTTCAAGGCAAAACTGCTCCAGCTCCTTCAAGTTGGATGGGTTCCGCTGGTGTCATACCACAGATTCTCAATTGGATTGAGGTCTGGGCTTTGACTAGGCCATTCCAAGACATTTAAATGTTTCCCCTTAAACCACTCAAGTGTTGCTTTAGCAGTATGCTTAGGGTCATTGTCCTGCTGGAAGGTGAACCTCCGTCCCAGTCTCAAATCTCTGGAAGACTGAAACAGGTTTCCCTCAAAGAATTTCCCTGTATTTAGCGCCATCCATCATTCCTTCAGTTCTAACCAGTTTCCCAGTCCCTGCCAATGAAGAACATCCCCACAGCATGATGCTGCCACCACCATGCTTCACTGTGGGGATGGTGTTCTTGGGGTGATGAGAGGTGTTGGGTTTGCGCCAGACATAGCGTTTTCCTTGATGGCCAAAAAGCTCAATTTATGTCTCATCTGACCAGAGTACCTTCTTCCATATGTTTGGGGAGTCTCCCACATGCCTTTTGGCGAACACCAAACGTGTTTGCTTATTTATTTCTTTAAGCAATGGCTTTTTTCTGGCCACTTTTCCATAAAACCCTGCTCTGTGGAGTGTACGGCTTAAAGTGGTCCTATGGACAGATACTCCAATCTCCGCTGTGGAGCTTTGCAGCTCCTTCAGGGTTATCTTTGGTCTCTTTGTTGCCTCTCTGATTAATGCCCTGATTAATGCCCTGTCTTGGCCAGGTTTGTTGTGGTGCCATATTCTTTCCATTTTTTTTATAATGGATTTAATGGTGCTCCGTGGGATGTTCAACGTTTCGGATATTTTTTTATAAACCACCCCTGATCTGTACTTCTCCACAACTTTGTCCCTGACCTGTTTGGAGAGATCCTTGGTCTTCATGATGCCGCTTGCTTGGTGGTGCCCCTTGCTTAGTGGTGTTGCAGACTCTGGGGCCTTTCAGAACAGGTGTATATATACTGAGATCATGTGACAGATCATTTGACACTTAGATTGCACACAGGTGGACTTTATTTAACTAATTATGCGACTTCTGAAGGTAATTGGTTGCACCATATCTTATTTAGGGGCTTCATAGCAAAGGGGGTGAATACATATGCACGCACCACTTTTCCGCTATTTATTTTTTAGATTTTTTTTCATTTCACTTCACCAATTTGGACTATTTTGTGTATGTCCATTACATGAAATCCAAATAAAAATCCATTTAAATTACAGGTTGTAATGCAACAAAAACACCAAGGGGGATGAATACTTTTGCAAGGCACTGTAACTAACAGAGAGAAAAGAGTGATGAGATGGAGAGAGAAAAAGGAGAGAGAAAGGAGAGAGGAAGAAAGAGAGTAACGCCCCACTAAATCACCATTGAAGGTGTGAAGAAATAGGGTATATAGCCCAATGCTTGCCCAAATTTAAACCTAAATCTAATTCTGGTGAAAGAAAGAAGTCCCCAAATCAAATCAAATCAATTTTATTTGTCACATACACGTGTTTAGCAGATGTTATTGCGGGTGTAGCGAAATGCTTGTGCTTCTAGCTCCAACAGTGCAGTAATATCTAACAAGTAATATCTAACAATTTCACAACATATACCCATTACACACAAATCTAAGTAAGGAATGGAATTTAAGAATATATACATATATGGGCAAGCAATGACAGAGCGGCATGGACTAAGATACAGTATAAATATTATAGAATACAGTATATACATATGAGATGAGTAATGCAAGATATGTAAACATTATTAAAGTGCCCAGTGTCCCCCTGACATCACTTCAGACCTTAACTCTTGTATTTTCTCAGTCCCCCTGACATTTACATTTTAGTCATCTTATCCAGAGCGACTTACAGTTAGTGAGTGCATACATTAAAGAACATTTAAAAAATCATACTGGCCCCCCATGGGAAATGAACCCACAACCCTGGCGTTGCAAGGGCCATGCTCTACTAACTGAGCTACACTCACCAATAATATGTGTCAGAAATAACAGATCTGTGATGTGCCCGGGTGGTTTGTATAACGTTGAGGAGTGGTTTGCATACTGTTCTAAGTGGTTTATGACCACACAAGTGGTGCTGGTTGTGTTCGTTGTCCTATATAACCATCTGACTGTTTAAACTCTGAACTATTTGAAGGACCCCATTAAACTTCATTCCTCATGCCTGTGGTCCATTTGTCTCTCTTACTAGATCTTTCCTTTTTTATACACTTTTATTGCGTTTGGTTACACACTCATTTTATCCTAATAACGATGTAAGTGCTAGAGAGCTTCGACATAATAACATATATATATCAAAACTCAGACATTTGTGTAAGTTAGCCCAGATCCTCATCCAATTATCTGTCAGAGTTGTTTGTGTCAAGCCATTGTGTCACCGCAATATATTCTCATGTAGTCATACATCAGTGGAGGAACAGGCTGCTTCAGTAATGCGAGTGTTGGCAAACATTTATCTGTACCGTAATGCAGTGACATCATCAACACCATCATTTATCCATGTGTATTTTCCCCATGTGTCTTTACCCCCACCCCCACCACTTCAGACCTTAAACTTTTTTATTTTTTATGTGTGCTGACATGAAATCAGCCAGGCCTTTTACACTAGTAGCTTTCCCATGAACCGAACACCGACCATGTGTAACGCATGCCCCCTTACCCCGTTTAACATCTCATATAAAATAACGGGGCTTGACTGGGCCGGGGGAGTGGAGTGCTATTTTACTGCCTGGGGTAAATTGCTCCAATTTGTTCGGAGCCCTGGCCCAACTAAATGGGTTTTTCATCCATCACCAGGGTGTTTGATGTGAAGGCTCTTGCTGGGCTCACACTTCTAGCTGACAGTGCAACCGCTATTGTACATACGGTTGTTGGAAGAGCACAAAAACAGATGGTTTCCATTCTCAAACACACACACACGGCCGCATGCAGATACACACGGCATTCCTTATGTTCTGTACTGCACCGTTTTTACACAACCTGCATTAAAGAACAAGTGCTAGGTTGATTGTAATTGGTCAATTTAGGTAATGTTATAGAAACAGTTTAGGAGGACCGGTGGATTTAAAGGGGAGGTCTATGCAGATTCTTTCATTTACATTTGAGTCATTTAGCAGATGCTCTTATCCAGAGCAATTGGGGTTAAGTGCCTTGCTCAAGTGCACATCAACAGATTTTTCACCTAATCGGCTTGGGGATTCAAACCAGCGACCTTTCAGTTACTACCCCAACGCTCTTAAGCACTAGGCTACCTGCCGCCTTCTACAGTGATCCACCCTGTACCCCTCTGTCCACCTCTCACCCAAAACCAGTTCACACAGCAGGTATCTGGCTCCCACAGGTGGTGCAGAGAACCCCCTAACCCCCCCACCCCCCCTCCCTCCCTGGAAGAAATCAGTTCATTTCCTGAACCTGCGCTTCAGAGAGAGAGGGGACGTCTGTCTCTCTGTAAAAGGCATTATCTTTCTGCCTCTTTTTACCGCCAAGCAGGAAATAGAGGTTCCAGTTTCAAGCCCCGCTCAAGGAAGTGCATTTACCCACGTGTTCCTTTCAGCGGTTGGAAACAAAATTATTTTCCAATCTGAACAGAACCACCATTTTCTTTTGTTTAGTTCCACTGCTCCGACCAGCAAAATAAAGTTCTGAACTGGTTAGAACAAAAAAAAGTACTGGTTTACATCAATCCTTTTTTAACATGTGAAATCAACAGTTTTTTACATTTAGCTCATTAAATTACTTCACCAACCAGTGCGGATAGAGCAGCCAAGCTAGTTGTTTACATGCGTGATGGACAGAGAAGTGTAGCCTATGGCGCAAGATGCGACTGAAATTTTGCAGGTGGGGAGAGATTGAGAGCGGGTTGAGGAGGCTTGAAGCGCAGGGCATCTTGTTATGACATGCATTATATGAATTAGGTCCACATAATTATACCTAGGAAGAGCGGCTTCTATGGAGAAACTTTGAATGTCCTTTGAGCTAACTAGCTAACAAGCTTGAGCTAGCTAGCTAACAAGCTTGTGTGTGCAAAGCAGCACCAGATTTAAAAACACGTCTTACCTTTTTGTAGTTAATAAATCCAATGTGAAACGTGATAACTAGGCCTATAGTATCCTTAACTAGCATTGAAAAAGTTAATCCATTCTTCTCTAGCTAATAAAAATTATCACTCCCTATCTTCTGA